GGTTTTGTCCTTTCCGACAGCAAAACATCATTTTTACACCCGCTGACAGTAAAACGATTAACCCTGGAGTTTTCCTGCTCAATTGTTGTCCGTATTTGGTTTGTTTGAAAGAAATCAACTCTCGACACGTCAGCTTTTTCTAAATATGGTGCTACGCATATTCTCCATACTGGGCCTAGTTGTTCGAAGGCGCTGATTAGTGCTAACCCAAGGTTAAAATTTTATCCCGGTTTCTTTATTCCTTTGTTGGAAAGTCTTTCTCTAATAATTTTCTCTCTTCTTTGAAGGGTATCCAGTCATCAAATTGTAGACAAAAATAATTCTACTGAATTTTCTTTTAAAGCTTTCAGATCTTAAACTAGATTTCACACTAACCCTGGGTTATCTTAACCAAGCTCTGAACAACCAGGCCCTGTTCTCCAAATATTTGTTAAGACGCCGACACGGAGAATTTGTCTAACAATCAAGAGCTTCTTTAGTCGTTGATCAGCTCCTTTATTCTCCTGACCTTAGTGTTTGATTCAGGGGTGATATGGTAAGGAGAATTTAGATGCCAGTCATTCTTAGGGGTTAAAGGATTAGTCAGCTATGAGTAAGTAATTTATCTTATCCCTCTTACGCAAATAAAAAATCTCTTCTAGAAATACACAAAGTTATGTTCACTTTTCTAAACGACTGCCTTGATTTGTTTTTTAAATAGTCAGTTTTACCTACGTAGTTTCCCTTATGATCAGTTGTGCTAATCGAGGGGCGAAAAGCAAGTCAACATCTTACGACTCAATTATCCATCGATCAATCAACATTCTGTTTTTTCTCGTTAAGCTGCCAGGCAAAAGGCGACAGATCAACAGAAACATTACCTGTTCCTTCTCTCTTCTCTTAGTTTGATTTCACTCTGATTTTTCGCCATTACCAACGCGAATAAAGGTACCTCCCTTTCAGTTACAAACAGGAAAGCGCTCAATTACTTGAGCCTTACAGTTTATGCTTAAGAAGCCACCGATGGAAGTGAAAAGCCAATTCAAGAAAAAAAAAAACAAACAAACAAACAAGAAATGATGAGGAGAGGGAGGTAGCAGAGAGGGAGGCTCCTAAGCATGACTATCTGACTCTCCGGGCTCCTCTCTCTATCTCTGAGATAAGATTCTTGGTTTAATTTTAGTGGTCGGTATCTATCTGGGGTCTACCTAGAGCAGTCTTCTAATGGCTGGGGTAAAGACCAATTTAAAGACCTGTGCAGGTGGGTGACCTGTGCATGGAAAGGGCATGCACAGGTCGCACGCCAAAAGCAACAAAAAAAGCCGAGTACAAATCCTGACGAAAGACACTAACTTGAGTTCTTCTGTTAGAAATTTAGCCTGACAAACGGATAAGAGTGATGGACCTAACTGGCATGATATGAGGGTGTTGTCCCTAAGAGAATGTCTGCTATTGGTACAAAGCCTTCTGAGTCCTTTAAATCCGGCAGACCAAATATAGTTATGGTTATGGTGACACTTTTTCTCCTTAAAACTGGCGATCGAAATCACAAGAAAACAGTAATGGGAAGGTCAATGATGAAGTTAAACCCCCACAATTTCAAAATACGAATATGCGAGAAAGAAAGTTTCCAACAGCGTTTGTTTTTTATTATTTACAGAAAGCCTGTTCTTTCTGGCCACGACCATCATGACTTTATTATTATTTATTGCAACGCACCAAACATTACTAGTTTTTACTGTGACTGAAAAATGTTTGCTCGGTAAGACAAAAGAAACGCGGAAGAGGCGATAAGAAACCAACAAGGAACAACTATGGCAAACTGGTGGTAGAGGGAATTGCAAAACGACTGATTGATAGTTTTGGCTTCTGAAATCTTTGGAGAAGTACAATCCGTGACTGGGGAGAAATTACTCTTCTTCTCTGAGTCTTCTCTGAAAGGGAGGAAAACTTAGCGATTATGATGTTTGTCCGTCGAGGGCTTACGAGATCATCTAGTCATCGTAGCGATTAAGGAGGAGGGGGGGGGATCTTCTGTCCTGCAAGCGCAGGGGGATTGCTAGCCCAATCCTAGCTGAGGATGGTAACTGCAACTAATGGCCTACTTGCTCTTGCCCTACCGGCCTGTCTATGCTGTCCTCCACTGCACTAGTTCTGGCTAATAAGCAGCCGCCCCTGTGTAGCGGGCGCAGCATAGTTCACTGTCAGCGGCTTCTCGTGAGGTTAACTTAATCAATTATTCAACGCCGGCAAGTGTCTTTCGGTTCCACGTTGACACATGCAGGACGATTATTCTACTACCAGACCCATTCCTTATCATGACCATCTTGTTTTCTTCCTGTAACGCATGATGCAATCGAGGGAATGGGATAGGGAACGAAGTCGAAACGATATCCAACAATTCGCTTTCTAGCTATTGCGGGCAGAGATAACGAAAACCATGATCTTCGATCGAACAGAATCCGTGATCTAAACTTTATTTTTTTTCTAATTTCAAGTTACGCATTTTAAAAAGTAATTCGCTTAGCGGAGTGTGGGGTGTATTTAATTTTAAGCACGTGTTTCCCAGAATTATGTCGATGAGTGAAATGACAAAGTCCACCGAATGAACTATGAATTTTCATTTAAGAGTTTCCGGTTTGATCCGCCAGCTGTCGCGATGGCATTGTTTTCAAACAAAATACCCCATTTAGGAAATATGAAATAAATGAAAGGACACTTTAATTCATGACTAAATATACATATAACACTTGACACCTGGCTAAACGAAAGTTTTTCCTTTCAAACGCGCCCTTCTAAGCCATGATCATGACCAAACGATTATTTTTGGCCCATTTTTTTTCAGTTCGGATTTTTTCTTATCGCTAGTTTCATTTATTAGCTTCTAAGAAAACCGTTCTGTTGAACATAAATGGTAATCAGGAATTGGACAAAAGAGAATCTTAATATTGTCTGGGTTTTGAATTATAATAATAATAATAATAATAATAATAATGATGATGATGATGATTTTTTAGGCTGTATTTCTTGGAAAATCCCAACAATTTGCGGGGAAATAGACAGTTCTAAGATTCTTTGATGTAACTGAAACGTGAGGGATGGAGCTTAGCAATGATTTCTTGGAATTTGGCGTGTAGCATGTATGGGAAGTTGTTCGACCACTACATTCCTGTCGGGGTTAACATGAAGCATTTATGATAAAAGAAAGCTTTGAACCGTGTTGCGACAGGTACATTATGATGTTCAACCAAAGTATATTAAATGAGTCAGCAAATCGGCGACCCAGTTTAATCATAAGCATTTCCAAAATTGATCAGAGAGTGTCATCAAACACTGTCACACACAGAGACGGAAATCGGAAAATGCAAGAACGTGGGACACAGCAAGCCAAAATAATCAAAACACGCCCGGGAAGTAACTACCCCACATGACAGCTTGAGTTTGAAATCCCAACTAATCACGATGAGTTTGCCATCGCACAGCTCAGAGTCAAACATTCCGTCACGCCCATAAAGAGCATGATCATTCAACGTGTCTTTCGTTCTTTGAAGTGCTTGTCTGTGACATAATGCGAGCTGAAAATAGTCTTTCTGATCAGCCGAGTGTTGAGAATCTCTTTATAATAGTTAGGTTTCAATCGTTAACGAGCTCCGGCCTACTAGGTGGGTTTCAAATAACATATGTATGTGTCAGTCAGTCACCGCCAACGAAGTACCCTCAGTGTTTGGAAATCAGGATTTTCTATCACTTAAGTTTAAGACCACCTTGGGTGCGAAGAGAGTTTGTTGTGAAATTTTAGATGTAAGAGAAGTATGAGGTATTAACGCAACCAAAATAATTTACACTATGTACACAAAAAAGCGAACCCAGTGACATTGTCATCCATTCTCGCTCAAAGTTTCCTAGAGTAGTGAAACACGCCTCTTACTGACCCTGACCATGAAATAATGATCCCAGTAATAATCATTGGCAAATCATTTAATTAAACGCCTCAGCTATTTAATCAAGATATCCGTCTATAACAGCCGCATGTCTTCATGATACCCTGATTAGACTATATGATTTGATAAATTCATTTGATAAAAGACCGTGAGCCAGAGTCTAATTTTAAGAACAGGCGCAAACCTTGTACTTCACAGTCGAAAAGCCTGTTAAATTTTGTTGCATATTTTCATTCAAATTATGAACACTATGTGTCGGGCTCATCGTAAGCATTTCTACCAGCTTATTCACAGAATAGCAGGTCATTGATAAGTGACCATAACTCTCGCACGGCGATCGAGATGAGGCCGAAAGAGCTTATAAGGGTGTACAGAGAGATTGAGCGTGGTTTGTGGTTGTGTTTTTTCCTGTTTTACTTTCTTCACAAAAGAAAAATTATCAGACAGGAAATTTCTTCTGTATCGCTGAGAGTAGATGAGAAATACTCAGGAAACGTTTTCAAGGGACATTGCTTTGTCAAAGCACACAGAACAAAATATTAGTCCTGCTGCCTAAAGAAATTACACAAAAACTTGGCATTATATCCGAAAGAATTTCATGACATGGTCGTTACTTAATGAGACTCACGGGCGAGGCGTAAAATTTCAGACACAAAAGATCTCTTGTATTGATGGAAGTGCGTACTAAAGAGAAATCGGATTTCACAACACTGTGTTCTAGCACGTTCAGAACTTATAGGTTTTGCAATTTTGGTAAACAAAACAAATCACACTGTTGTCGTGTCATTTACACTTGTTTATTATCTTTTAACGATTATTCCGATTTTTCATGTTCATGGATTCACGAGCCAATAAAATTGTAACCCCAACTGATTCATTCTTTCAGTTTCTAGGATATGGGTATCAATTCCCTCAAAGTATCATTAAGAAGTACTTTTACGAAACAATTCAATCTACATTATGATTCAAATCAATGACGCACGGTGATGCTAAATGGAAATACAAAGTCGTTGCAATGCAATGGTTGTATTCAGTTCGGAAACCAACGAAGAGGAAATCAATTACTAGATCGTAATAACATCCAGCTAAGAGAAACAAGTCTTGCAATTTTTGAATTCCTCTTAAAAAAATTTCCCCCAGTTGCGTATGCTTTTAACAATGGACTGTCGACATCCTTAGCGGCTGACGCAATTTTAAATTCACATTGACTGAGAATTCACTGAGAACTATGTACAGTAAAACAGTAGTTAATTTGAAAACCAGAGTTAACATACAGTTAAAATTTCACTCCTGGCAAATTTTCATCATATAAATTCTCAGCATGAGTTCAGACAGGCTATGAGCAATAAATTGCCATCACAGAACACGATTGCAGTCGAAATTTATGTTAATGTTAGAGCCACTGGAGCTTTACGTGCGTCATTTAGGCTAATTAAAAGAGGGATGGGTTGGAATCTAAAATAATAAGGAAATAGGAAAAAGCTAGAAACTTAGAGGACAAACCCAATAGTGCAAAATGCATTTAGCTCTGCCAGCCTTCGCACGAAACACAGACGATTGTCCTCGACATATACACTGGTATTGCCTCCGATTACCTCTGAAATAACTTTTTAAGTTGTATTCCGTAGTTCCTTCGGTGGAACAAGTAACACCAATGATTCTTTCCTGAGTGTTCTCAGTGACGATAACGTTTTGTCCAGCGCCAGCTCTCTCGGCTGTGAAAGGGACTCCATCTTTTACCCGATAGACACACAGAGACATATTTACTAGCCCCGGTTTTCCCGGTCTTCCGTCTACACCATCCTTTCCTGAAGGGCCAATAGGCCCAGGGTTTCCAGGCGGGCCCCTCGGTCCGACCAAGCTGCTGATATTAAGTTTATAGTTTTTCGCGAAGGAAAATGCTTCAGCCGCTCTTTGTTCTAGCTCTACAATCTTTCCAGTGTGTTCGATGTCTCGTCTCTGAAGCTGTGAAATGATTTCGTTTTTCTTTCTGATAGCTTGATTTAATTCGCTCAAGTTTGACTTCATTTCCTTGATCACTCTCCATAATTCCTGTGCTGATCCCACCGATTGAGCAGTAGAGCTTTGGCTGGGTACGATTTCTTTCTTACAATCGTCGCAGCCTGGGACAAACATGATCCCCAACATAAGCATCACAACAACAACTGCGGCCCCCAAACCAAATAAGAAACCGAAAAACGCCATGACTTTGAACAGTTTGTTACACGTGTCTCTGTGGTAGCCATCGTCGGAGTCGTCCGTGAACGTTCTTCTCCGCTTCTGAGAGTAAGGTACGGGTTCGTAAGCTTCATTTGTCTTCCTTCTCGGCCGCTTGTTACCTGATCTACTCGAAGGATGGGGTCTCCCTCGACCTTGGCTGTGGAATACTTCATCCGCTAGTTTGCTTGGGTCCTCATACTGATGGCTTGGATCGTCTACAAAGCGTCGACTGTTCATGTTCTCGTAAGAATCCTGTCTTGTCTTCAACGGCGTTGTGGCCCGACATTCTGGTTCATAATCCATCATGAAATCCTCGTTTGTTGGAGTAAACGCTCTGTTAGGGACCAACTCGGCTCTGGAATTGACGCTAGCCATGTGCTTACACTTTCTATAGTAATTTCTGTTTCTTAATCAGTAGTGTACTCTGTAATTAGCTCTGTAAACTTGGCCCGTAGAAAATGTTCTTCGTCTAATAATTGGGCTCCTTCTGAGAACAGGCGTCAATGTTTGTGTAGTAATTGCGTTTGCGTATCTGTCCGTAATTTGAGCAGCGTGTAGGCCTGGCTGACCGCAGAGATCGTATATACTTCCGATCAAGTAAATGTGCACGCGTTGTGATGAGATACTGCTTGTTATAGACTAAGATAGTCACGCCATGGGCCAATGCCCAAGTACAACTCAAAATATGAATGAATGACTTCTGGAATTTAACGAAGAAAAAAACGACGCTGAGCTTTGTTTTAAAACTTCCGGTGTTCCTTTGTTTATTTTCGCGCCATTTCCTCGCTCTGTTTCCTGTTACAAGTGCTATAATCTTTTTAAACCTAAATATTTGGATGTCTGCCAACAAAAACTCTCTTGTTCATCTTCAAGCACCGGTCTTTGTCCCAATAGAGTCTGCTAAAAAATTACAACTCCTTCCAAACTGGCACATTTTTCGCCTAAAAACCCCTACGGCAAATTGTTTAGAAAAAGGAATGTTATTGATAGGGATTGTAATTCAATGACAGCGGAGCGGAACAAGTAGTCAGAAGATCGCGATATATGCACAATGGACTTGAAGGTTTCTTTAACCAATCAACTATCGCCAGCTGAGACAAAGGTTGCGACGGGGTAACTAGGTATATCTTAGGGCAGTTTGATCGGATTTTATCCCGCAAACTCACAATCAGAGATGAGATGACATAAAATCTAAGAATATTTGGCACGAAATATGACACAGCCAAGATATTTGAGGGCGGAAGGGAAGGAGTCAAGGTACATTTCTGTGTCAAGGAATTCAGGCGCGTTTAAAGCTACAAGGATTCACTCAGCAATTGTCAAAGGCAAACAAACCTCACTTCCCTGTGAGGGACAGAATCTGAGTAAGTTTGAACACAATGGCCGCGATGGGCCTATAATGGTTTATGCTGAAGAAGCCGTGTACAACTACAATAAGTTTGGACACTATAAAGTTATTATGGCACTCAAACCGGTCGATAGTCTTCGCAATCAGTTGTTCTTTGCAAAGGAATCTACAAAACACAAGAAAGAGGTGCTAATAAGTAACAAATCTTCGCACGTCCCTGTTAAACAAGCACCGAACTTTAAGGGAACACGAACAGATGGCAGATTTCTCGACAGCAAAACGGCTGCGCAACTTCGAGAACGAAAGACACATCTGAAACCTACTTCGCACTCGAACCCGGACTCTTTCGAAGAACTAATCGAACGATACAAAACTCGCAGAGCGGCCTATGATGATCTCATGGGAACAGGACACGTCGAAGTCTTAGACAAACTCGACAACTTGTACAGGCAAAGAAAGGAAGAGAGGTTAAAACTTTTGGCGCAGTTTAGCAACCTTGGAGAGATACGAACTGAGATAAATACATCGACGGGTTTAAGAGACCACGCGGCAGATTTAGAGAAGGCAAGTAAGGAAACAAAGGAGACTTTAAAACTACCAAAGATTCGAGTATCTACAGTGTCCGAATTATCCAAGAACGACTCGCGAAGAAAGCTAGATAGAAAGCACTTGCTTGTCCCGAGAGAAAAAGTAGGGGGTACTTCGTTAAGAGCGCGCAATGCGAACTTAGAGAGTGTCACTTTTAAGTTACCGGAGCTCTAGTACCCAGCGGCTCATATTGAATATTTTCTTAAGTGCAAAACAAAATCTCTGATTCTTCCTTTTCTGGTGGTAAAGATCGCAAATCTGAACACGCCTGTAGATTATCTTTTCCGGAAATCTGCTTACTGACAGAGTAAGGGGTTTTATTAAGAATTATAAATGATTTGCGTGTCGTTCGCCAGTTGTCTTCAAGGAGCCATTGAATGCGAGTCATCAGTCACGGTTTAGTGATCAAAAGGATTTTATAATCACTGACCGCACAAAAGACGATAATAGGGTTAATTTATTTGTATATATTACGTCTCCGTAAATGACTGCAGTTATAGGACTAATGATAGCTGAAAATATTGCAACTATGACAAAAGTAAATGGCAAATTAAAAGTGGGTGATTACGTTACCCTGCTTGAATAAAACACGGCCTGATCAAATTGCGTGTAAACAAACATTTGAAGAGTTGTCAAAGAACCCTGCCATTATTGAACACTGGTTAAAACGTCGATCAACTCCGCACAAAGTCCGTGATCTAAAGTTAAAAATAGGAAATTCAAAATTTGGAACTGGTGACCGCAGTTAATTGAAAGCAGCGAAAGTTAATTTGGATGTACAGACTTAATTTAAACTTATTAAGATTTGACAAACTTGGTAAGGAAACCATGCACTTGTATGACGCCTTAGATTAAAATCATCGATGTGGATTTTACTCCAGGAGACGAGAAATGATTTGAAGCACATCATCAATGATCCATTAAAAAGAGAGAAAAGGGAGCAATCTGTTGGGCAATTAAAAAAAACACCAAATGCCAATTTGCACGAATCAAATGGCTTACCGTGAGTCAAAACACTGATCGAGTATCAAAGCCGAAAAATACAAATACAAACGGCGAAGTGAAGTACTGGGTCAAGTAAGTTCGGTCAAACTTACGCAAGAGCAGTAGAAGGTTCTACTTTTTTCTCCGAGCATAACTTACTTTCAACGCTCTGGTTTGATTTCAGAGACAGACATCGATAGAAATGAAGTCATGACCATTTTCGACTTTCAACCGAACACAAAGAAGTTTTATATAATCCATTCTCGTGATCCAATTTTGCTATTGACAAAAAAAACAGAGCTGAAAGGTCGAGCAAAACAATGCAGCTATAAAAGAGGGAACCGTTCAACTCAGAAACGTTTCAGGTATATTACCGCAAGTTATAAGCAAAATTACGTCTTTCCCAAACTCGTTTCACGGTCAGGGCCGTAGCTAACATGAGGCAAGACGAGGCAATTGCCTTGTCTTGATTTTGGCTCAAGATTGACTTTTCTGAAGAAAAATGCCACGGGAAATGCTTAAAAGAGCATTTCTGAGCCTCTAGATTTCACAATTTTCTGGGAGGCATACCCCCAGACCCCCCCTTGCGGCTCGCGCCTTCAGTGCTCGAAACTTGCCTCGTCTTGTTCTGAAGTCTGGCGACGGCCTTAACGGTTTGAAGGTTCAGTGCAATTTGATAGTAGTAATTGTGTCTTTTTCTCCTTTCCGGCATTAAGCAATCTTGTCATTATCCAGCAGTTTTCATGATGTTTTACCGTAGAAATACTACTACACTTAACTCAAGTATAAAAGCTATGGAAAACGCAATCATTAGACGTATGCCTATCACTTCCTAAATCACGCTCTTGCTTCAAACTTTTCCACTTAACAAACCAACCACTTCACGTACACAATACAGACGTTGAAGGAAGTTCTGTATTGCCGCTTGAACATCGCTAGAAATCGATAGCCATGGAACAATAGTTGGCCAACAGATTTAACTTGCGACATTTGAACAATTAAAAAAGTTACCTCAAGTTAAAGGAAACCACAAACAATTTACTTGGCAAGATAGGAGGAAATTCAGAGTTAACCCTAAAATTAAAATGTACCGCAAATGACACATGTGAACTGAGTCATTCAGACTAAAAAATATTTTGAAAAGATGCTCGACCTGCGGGATTCCTTCATGTTCAGACCAAGGAGAACAAACCTGCGTCCGCAAGTGCTAATACAGTGAGCCAAAAAATAATTTCAGCAAAGCTTTTCTGGGCAATTTCAGCGGGCAATGAAAGGGAAGTTAGAAAGTGCTGATACAGTGAGTCTAAAAGGAAATGTCTGGAAGGTTTTTTCTAGGTTCGGCGGAACAAGGAAAGGGAAGTTCGCGTTGTAAACGTGATTGAGAAACCAAGATCGCTGTCGCACCCACTTCCAGTCATGTCCTAATTAAGTACATGGATTCTTCGTGTGGAGGTTGTCGGAAATAAAAGTGTAAAACTGTATGTGATACAGGTAAGTGGGTAGTTTACAGGTCACGGTTCCTCGACCTCTTGATTTGAGAACGTCACTGTAAGGATGCGGGTTTAATGCATTTATTTTATTCACTGACTTTTAAACTCGATGAAAAACAAAAAAAGACTTGATTTGTCCATTGTTATTCTTTTCGCGCTCCTCCCCTTGAACCAGTGAGGAGCGAGGACTGGATACGAGAGAGCGGCGGAAATCGAGCATGGGTCAGTGCAGTAAGAACAAAATCCGAGTCTCTCTTGAGTGCGCTGGGAAACGATGATTAAGGAAGTGAATAGACTATTGTCTTAAGAACTTCGTGAATGGCCAGAAACACTCAGAGTAAGAAACGGCCGCAGATCAGTCCATTATAGAACATGAAAGACAGATGTAATTTCCATAGATAACCATCTGAAAAAAAATGACTTCAGAGTTCACCTGCTTATGCAGAATTACTCTAAAAATGCTGGGAATATCGTTGGGAATCGTATGAACTTGACAGTGTCTTTATAGAATAGAGAAATCGTGGAACGGAACGTGTAATGCTGATTTGTCGACAATTACGCCTGAATCAAGTGGAAGCAAAAAGTCCAGGATTACTGAACCAACGTAGGCGGAATTCTCCGTAACGCAAGTAGGAAATTCTGCGAAACTGACCCGGGATCACGTGGTATAAATAAAATTTATCTCAAGAACGAAAAACAACCTTGCAAAGAAAGGAGAAATGAATCGATAAAGTACGATTGATACTCCTTTGCTTTGGATGTCTCGTTGGGCTGTTTGTCTAGTCTCGTACCCAGACGTTCCACGGCCAAGCGGTCCTACATGTCAGTTACAGTTGTACAGCAGGATCTGGGTACGAGATTACTGTTTGTCTCCTAGCGAGTATGGCAAGCTGTCACTACCAAATCAAAACTCGGATCGACTTGCACATTACTGGTCCAAACCACTTCGAATGCTGTTGAGTTGCATAATTAACACGGTCGGTAAGTTTGGAAAATGTCTGGTCACCGTCTCTTTTTCACTGGTATAAACCTAGTAGCGTTCTATAATAATAGCTGCAATCTGATTGGCTAAGCTACACCCTCTATATTTTATGAGAAATAGTGAGTAAAGTGGGTAGCCTAAACAATATCAAATGAAAACAGGGGCCCGTCTCATCGGTAAATTCTGAAAGGTTAGTAGATTCATACTGAAAGAACTAGATCATTCGCTCTCGATTTCTATGCGTGATAAATAATGAGGGCTTGGCCTTTATCAAATATTACGCGAATCCAGAAATCGAGAGCAAATACCCTCGTTTTGTTATATCACCTGTAGCGCCCGTGTGCAATATAAAGTGAATCTTGTGTTCTGATTGGCTAACCGAGCGGGCAGCATGGGCCAATCTTGCCCGCTTTGATCCCGCGCCATAAAAACATTGTGTGGAGTGGACTTACGCAGGACTTACAAAGTTCGTAATTTTTGGGTGATGTCAGAGAAAAAGTTGCAAAAAGCGGCAGACGATAGTCAAAACGAAGAAAACACGAACGACAATACCGGGTTTATTGTGCTACATACACGGTCGGCTTTCTTTCCGGTTCCCGAAATAAACAAGTCATTCCTGATTCTCAATAAAAGCGAAATATTTTTGTTATATAATACATCTCTTAATTTCAAGACCAAGCTTGTTTAGTCAAGATGGCTGGATATTAGCCTCGTTCACTTTTTGTGTTTTCATGGGTATCGAATTCGTCTCGGTCCATAACAACGCGGGAAAAGAACTCAGCCAATATGGAGCCATATTGACCTCAAGCTTAGTCAATAACGCATGTATAAAGCAGAAATTGAGAAGTGAAAAACAGTGGCCTGGCGCTATCCGTCTCGCTGTGAAGTTTGAGTGCCCAGACAATTTTAACTTAAGCATTCAAAAAATTTCCCCTAATTTTGATCGCGTGATAATGAATTCAAGCTTCACCCTTTTTAAATATTCAGCCATCAGTCGATAAGCACAATATCTAATGAGTGAATCCTCTCTCACGCGTAACATACAGATTAGGCGTCATATTTTCTTTAGTTTTACGGTATTTTGGAAACCAAATGAATGCGCGCACAATGTAAGCACGAAAGACGAGTTACGCCCGAAACTAAGGAGGGCGTAACTTGCACGTGACTTGCACTTTGCACAAGACAGTTGTTCTGAAAGCAGCTAACAAGCGACGCTTCAAATCACCGATCGCCTATTATTCAGACCAAATCAAACCAGTCTTTGTCTTCATCTGATGCAGCGATCTTAAGGTTCATCTTTTAATTGACTCATTCGAAGTAAGCCTTGGTAACAACATCACGTTTCTTTTCAACTGACTTTCAATTGTTTTTAGATCTTAGATAAACGCTAAACAGTGCTCCTCATACAACTGCAGATAATTCAAATAACCGAACTCTTCATTCACCTCAGCTGTCAGCTGTTTGAACAGTCTATTCTTATGAAGTCTACCTCAATATCAACTGTCTTTTTGCGGTGAAACTTGTAACTGGCCGCCAAGTCAAAGCGAAGTTCAGCCAACACTTCCAATTTCACTCCCCATTCACAAGCCTTTTTCTTGATGTGTTCCCTTGTGGCTGTCTTGTGCAGAGAATAAACAGCTGTATTAGACATACTGATGGCCTGCTGTAGAAATTTGAGGTCAATACCTAGAAGAAAATTAACAAAGAGCAATATTATTAAAACCCAATTCAATTGCATCTCCTAAAACCAAAATCAAACTAATCACAACAATGAATCAGAACAGAGGTAATTATCAAATAATAAAACCAAGCAAACTGCCTGAAAAGCAGGGGAAACCATGTCATAATTGCTTTATTTAAATTTTGCACCTGATTTTATGAGAAGGTGGCTTGAGTATTTTAGACCAATCATAAGTGTGATGAAGTAAAATCAGAGCAATCCAAAGTTATCTAGGGGTGCATTTATTTGCTTAACCCTTTAACACCCAAGATCTCATTAGTAATTCTCCTTACCATCTGCAAAATGATTCTCATCATGTTAGTTTGGAGAATTTGCTATCAGGTCAATTAGTAATGCGACAATTGATATTTTTCTTTATTTTCATCACTTGTCTACATGATATTGTATAGAGATAGTAGTGAGAAATTCTTTCTTAGTCACTCATGGCTTAAGTGTCCTTAAAACTGAATGCAGTCACACCATATACCAAAGTCACCTCTGAATAGGATGCTAATCTATCAGCAATTCTTTATGTTTTCAAAACAGTTCAATGGTACCCATTAGTGGTATCCAGTCATTTTGTGCCCATGGTTGTTTCATACCCAAACTCAGTTGATTTGTGCCCAGTTTGAGTTGCTTTGTACCCGAACCACTTGTCAATTTGTACCTATCCCAATGTACATTCATTTGAATGAGTATGTAAACAGATGTTGATTGTTGTGTACAAAAAGTTAGTAAAGTCAAGGGAGTAAGAAACAAGCAAAATTCTACTGTGTATACTCGTGATCTAACAAACAAAAACAACTAAATTATTGCCTAATGCAAGGTAAGTGTGGTATTTCTGATAGAACAGTTTATTGTTTACACTTGTACTTTTTTTGGACACCATGTACCTAAATGGCAAGATTGGCCCATGCTGCCTGCTCGGTTAGCCAATCAGAACACAAGTACTACAGGTGATATAAAACTTATTGAACACGTAATATTTGATAAAGTAATAAGCTATTTCAAATAAGAAACTGACCTTACTCTAACCATACTTGACATGGAAAATATATTTTGTTAGAATGGGTACAAAACATCTCAACTGACTAGGTATGAATCAACTGAGCTGGATATGAATCAACTGAGCTGGATATGAATCAACTGAGCTGGATATGAATCAACTGAGCTGGATATGAATCAACTGAGCTGGATATGAAACAACTGTTGGTAAGAAATGACTGGTAACCCCATTCATATACTTGCAAGGGATGGGACACCATCAGAGTGAAAGGTCTTACCTAAGAGCACAATAACGTGACCTGACCAGGGCTTGAACTCAGACCTTTTAACCATCAACACCTTAAATTAGTATCCATATTCTCCATACTGTACTCTAAACATTTGCTAAGATGCCAACATGGAGAATTTGTTTAACAATCAAGAGCTTCTTTAATCAGTGATCAGCTCCTTTATTCTCCTGACTTTCCTGTTTGATTCAGGTGTGATATGGTAGAGAGAAATTAGATGCCAGTCACTCTTGGGGATAAAAGGGTTCAACTAGAGTCCAGCATGGTAATAATAGGCCATCTGTGTGCAGGCTCTCACAAGCAGTGCAACACAAGCAGCAAAGCCTGCCCATTGCCAGCCTGGGAATGATTCAAGTGTGCAGTAGGTTCCTGGGGATTCTGGTGAGAGAACAAGTGCCAGAACCCTCACTGACCTCTTACCAGCTCGAATCTTGCAGGTTTTGTTGCTCCTGCCATAGTGCTTGACCCTTTACAGCCTAACATCAGTAGAAATATTCTCCATACTGTTCTCAATACATTTCCCAGGATGCTAACAAGGAGAGTTTGTTTAACAATCAAGAGCTTCTCTCATTGGTAATCATTTCCTATTTCCTTCATACCTTTATGTCTGATTTGAGGGTGACATTGTAAGGAGAAATTAGGAGCTTATCACTCTTAGGGGTTAAAGGGTTAAGAGAGCTTGCTCGAAGGCACTTCTTGAGCAAGAGACTAATTCAGATCTTGGCCGAGGTTTCCACCAAGGCCTGATGCAGTGCTTAATCAAATTTACCCATTCTGATAAAAATCAGCATCTAAATTTTGCGTAGATACCTCTATTGTTCTTAGTTCCAAAAGGAGGGTTCATAATGATCGTGTCAAACGTTTTTCTCCATCTGTCACACAATGCAATCTGTTCCACGTCACCTTGTATAAGTTCACATGTCTGAATCTCAAACTCTGCGCAGTTTCTAGCAGCGATTTCTAAAGCATCGCCGTCCACATCAAATCCGATTGTCATAGCACTTCCAAGCATACATGAACCGATACTTAAAACGCCGCATCCACATCCCAAATCACCGACAAGTTTTCCTTCAATGTCACCAAATGTGGAGTCGATCGTGTATAACATGTGAGCCGCTATATGCGGCGTTGTTGGATATTGTTCCAGATCCACTTTTGGCTTTTCAAAAACATCAACTTGCTGTAAGTATCCTTCTAGCTCTTTAAGCTTCATTTTGTAAAAAGTAACAGAATCGTAGAGTATATATAGCCTGGTCACATCCCTCGAAATTTACTTCATTCACGGCTTGGCGACCGTCTAAAATACGCTTGGTAGCCTCGCCAAAAGAAACTTACCGAAACCACTATGGTGGACGATAAGGGCGAAGAGCGACAATCAGACACAGAGACAAATCTTACGGAAAGCAATTCGAGTCAGATTGGATGGGTAACTTTTGACGAACCTGACACAGATGAACCAGAGTGCCTCAAAACTACGGATCACGAGCAAATTTGTGCGCAAAAAGGACAACATATTGCACGCTTAGGTGAGTCTCAGCAATGCTCTTTATTTGCTAATCGAAGATCGATTCATTGCCTTGAAAGTCATCGAAAATTGTTCATCTTCCTACTATTCCAAGACGAAAGAAGTGCAATTTAATCGAGGAAATCATGCAAGAGTTTTAATTGGGGGAAATTCGGTCACTCGGCCTCAGTGATCTTGATTCTTGGTGCTGAGATTGATAGATAATTGTATTATCTCAAAGCAGCTAGGATAGTTGAACTTTGATTGGAACAGATCAAAACGAAAAAAAAAAGAACTTAACTGGATTTACTTATTGATTTGGAATATGCAATTGTGGTTGTTAGTGGATGTGATGGCAGAGAAAAAAATTAACTGATGGCTACCAGGGCAAACTTCTCCTTCAGTCCATTAACTTCTAAGAGTGACTGGCTTCTAATTTCTCTTTACAGTATCACCCCTGAATCAAATGTTGAAGTGTTGAGAATAAAGGAAATGATCAACAATTAAAGGAGCTTATGATTAACAATTCTCCTTGTCAGCAGCTAAGGAAATGTGTAGAGAACAGTATGGAGAATATACATATGGATGTTGGGATGTAGAGGGTTAATAATGATTCATTGCAGAAGAGATAGGTGTGATGTCTGAATTACTTCCTTTTTTTCTCAGAGAGGGAGCTTCAGAGACTGCAGGATAAGAAAAGAACACCTCTTTCATCCAAAGAAATGATAAAAACTTTGCAAGAAGCCAGAGACACTCATATGAAACACTTTATGGACAGGCCTGAACAATCAGAGGCATTTTTGACAGATGGAGGTGAAAGAAATGATAACTCTTGTTGCTTTCCTGTATACAGAGTAGTGTTTCCTAAACAACCACTCAACAATGAAGAACTTGAATGCTTGGTTGAAGATAACGAGGATAATAATCCTGATAGAACAACTGGTGAAGCATGGAAGACATGATAATAACACATACTGGCCAGTTTTTGGGTGAAAAGGTTGAACATCCAACAATTTGATCAGACCTACCTTTCACTGCATTGAAGATAATAAAGAGAAGCTGGTAGCAATGACTTTTTACTGTGAGAATACTCTCAATTTTGTACTATGAAGCCAAAATCAAATTAATAGTAACGATAATATTAATTCCAATACTGTGAATACTACTTAAAATAATAATGATAATAATAATAATAATGACGATGATGATGAAGTTTGATGAGGGAACCCAACTTGCTAAAGTGGAGCCCTCAAGATCATAATTAATAAATTACCATGTTGATTTTGTAAAGAATTAAGGATTAGAATCAAAATCTTAAAACATGAAAAGAAATAGTTTTCAGTTTTGCTTTAACAACCTAAGAAAAAATGTTTTCCTTTCAAATTAAACAGAAGTCTGACAGGCCAAAGTTTGTGTGCCTCAGTTAGTTTAACAAAGAGGCAAATAAAGATGTCTGGGTCTTCTTGTGTTGAAAGAATTAACAGCTTGATTGTGGATAAAATCAAAAAGTCAAAATCAGTTTTGTGAATTACAGACATTTGTGTACAGTAATCATGATAGAGGGACTAATCTCCATTAACCCTTTAACTCCTAGAAGTGATAAAAATATAACTTCTCCCCATGATGTTCATACATTATCCAGCAAACAGGTCATGAGAATATTCAAACTTATCAGGTTGAAGTTGTTATCTGGATCTAACACTAAATTCTCAACTAATTTACCAGGAAATGTTTAGCAGCTAGAGGGGAGAAGTAATAATCACATCTTGGGAGTTGAAGGGTTAAATAAAATACATGGTATTTTGTTGTGTGGATGATATGGAAGAATAAAAAGGTCATCAGAGGTGAGCTGAAATTAGAGAAATTTCTGTAAAGAAGCCTAAAAAAGACCAGGCTTCAAAGGGATCCCATCCTTGTAATTTAGGCTAGAGAATTTGGTGCTATATCAGGATTACACCCTTAAGCTGATAAGCTTTTCTGAACTCATAACCTGTTTGCAAGATAGCATATTGGAACTACTAGGAGAATTTAATCATTAATCATTTCTGAGAATTAAAGGTGAATTCCCTTAAGTATCACGTATTCATGCCTCAAACTTTAGGAACAAAGAAATATTACGGTGCTCCTCCATGAAAGGTTCTCTTTTACAACCAAGCTCTACTCACAAAAGGAAGAAAGTCGATGAAAATGATCAAAGTAAAATTTTTGAATTATTATTATTAAGTGTTTTGATCCTTTTGGTTTGTTTTTACCCCATTTGTCAGGCAATTTTGTCAGACAATTTGTTCAATTTTATTGAATTAGATGGTAGCTAATCCAAGTGCTGTGTGAAAGTCGATGCATACGAAATATTCATTTACAGTACTGATGATTGTGTTTATGCCAGTATCTGCTAAAGGTTTTCGCGCTGTTCACGCAAAGGATATCGCTTAGCTCAGGAAAGGGCGTGAACTTCATTACAAATGAGGTATGCCTGTTATTAAAATAGGATGGAAACTACAATTGGTAGGATTTTCATTCGACGAGAAAAGCGCAAATATAATGATGTGGAAAGAAAAGGAGTATGAGTACATCTCAAGCGCGTGAAAGAAACGTCAATGAGGAGCTCGCCATTCTTCGCCTGCGACACGTCAGCCGTAAAGAATGTTGAACAATCGTGTACGGTGTGGGAACAGGCCCCTTAATCACCATTTTTTTTTCCTGAATTCATAGTTATCTTCCCCTGATTTCACTAGTGGTATGTGTTCGTAACAGCCGTCTTCGAAGCCGGTACGCAGCATACTAGTAAGGCCGACGACATTGAATAGTAAAATCTCCTCGATGTCGACGGTGGAAACGCGTCCAATTTGGCCACTCAGCCAGCATTTCTATACACTTCTTTCCAAAGGATGTCTGTATATGTGTATTATTCTTGTAGCTAACATCGTTTGGCGCTCCGGCCAAGCAGTACGTTCGCCCTTTCGCCTAGATTTTTCCTTGCTCCACCATGGTTAGCGACGTGTCTTTACAGTTTCCTCAGTATATCACAGCTATGTAACGTGATCGTTTTGGCCGCGTTTTGAGGACACTTTTTAGCCGCCAAATCATACTTTCAATACACAAAAAATGGTCAAGGAGAACTCGCTATGCACTAAGGTAGATTATTTCTAATTTCAAATACAGCTATTCAACCGGAAAATACAAAAAAGAACATTCGTGTCATAGGCACTTTCAAAGTAACATACACACAGGAGCCCATCACTTGTGATGGGCTCCTCATATACATCAATACTTTTTTTTCGCTGATTTTTTTTACCTGCGCAATGGGGAGGGACTGCTGGAAGTCTAAAGGCATGATGGCCAATAGAGCAGCGTAATGGGTGACAGCCAACACAGTAACAGAAACGGATTCAAATTTTGGAAAATACCGCAAACTTTTTTCAGGGTGAATCTAGTTGTCGTGGGTCACTAATAAATTTCCACGGGTCTTCCTCGCTCAGAAGAAGTTGCTGCGTTGTCCTCTCAAGAGGGCGGAGTGTGTCTCTTTCCTCTGCAACGGACCCAAGGAAAAAAACTATTCCCTATTCTTACATCTTGAACACATTCTAAGGCACTATTAGTAAATAGTACCGCAAAAGAAACTGAATTAGTTATTAAAAACGGTTTTTTACACGGGACTCAAATAAAACAACCAGATCAAGCATTAATTAATCATGTTCTCGAAAAGCGCATGTGTAACCACTTTTCTGTTTTAACTTAACCACGCGCGTGGCATGTAACGGATTTTTTATTCTTTTTCCTCGTTCTTCTGTGTGACATCCATTGAGGAAGATGCGTTTTTCAGTGGATTTCATTGTCAACATTTGTTTCTTTGATATAATCTGCAACTGTGTATTTATTGATTTTCGGGAGATACTTTTCAGAAAAGCTTCTCACAGTTCTTTGTCTGGGTAAAGACAAAGTAGAAGTGGAGGGTTTTTCAGCCGAAAACAGATTTAAGAATTAATTCAGCTTGCAGCAAGAGACACTATTGGCCTGCACTTGATTTTGGTGACCAATTTGCCGATCATTTAGCCAACATTTTTTTATCCAAAATTTGCAATTTTTTCCGTTGTTTCAATTGCCTCCTTGCGTTTGCGTATGTGTGTTCTGCTTCACTAGTGAAAAGCTCAAAAAGAGGGAAAACGAAAGAAATTAGAGAGACAGAAACCTTTTTCTGCTTGTTTGCCATTTTCCATTATAGTTTGCAACCGGGCCGCGTCTGTCGCCATAGAAACAAATCAAAAGATTTAAATACGCATGTGCGAAAGTAACTCCTTTTTATGTTACCAAGGAAAGAGAGAACTATCCTGGTGGAATGCTTTGATTCAACCATCCAAGAAATAAATGTTCACGTGTAATTTTGAATTTAAATGCAAGTAAAATAAAGCGACGTGGACTGTAGGCTGCCGTAAGACGCGCTCTGCAAAAAAAAAAATCATCGTCTTGTAATAGAGAGTTGGGGAAAGATCCTTTTTCCATAAAGATGGGTTCGGAGATGAGCGCAAAGGAAGGAAGTGATTACCAAAATGGAAATGTCAAAAAGGACGATGATTTGTACGAAAATGGCGCAGACGAAAATGATCGAGATAGAGAAGGTAAAGCAGCTCAAGACATGGGGAGTAAATATAAAAATGGCGATATTCGCAGCAGAAAACCTGTTAAAGCGGGAAGTCGGACAAAAGCTGAGCTGAGGAAAGCAATTCTCAAAACTAAACAACCAAGCATGAACGAACAGCATAAACCTATCGCCATTCCAAAG